TTCTTTTGAAAAACGTCCTGATTGTAATTTCTAAAGTTGTACCACCGATGCACCATAAATAAAAAACTAGGATTAAGTAAAGGTAAATAAATAACACAACTTGTTAAAGACACAAAGTAAGGTCGGAATTGCATAATTATAAATTGGTCCACTCTTAATGAGCTAACTGTAGAGGCTGGAACTTTGTTTTCAACCGTTATAAATTAAATCATAGTATATAACACTCTTGTGAATTCTCCCAATGAGAAAAAAAAATTACTTTATGAACAGTTGGTGGCATATGATTACTTACCGTGTTTGTAAGGTTGAAGTTAACAAAGAATTTTTGCATGGCCGCAAACTGGCAACAAACACGTAAATGCAAAATTCAATATAATTTTTTTTTTTTAAGCAAGCGCTAATGTGGACAAGATTTTTAAATAGATATACTTTTTAAACATGCTTAGCTATGTGAAATTGTTAAAAAGTCCTTGAGCACTTTTAAATAACCATTCATTTTTTTACTTTTTGTTAAAATTTTTTTTTAATATAAGTTTTTTCCAAAATAAAATTAAATATATAAAATTTCATCTAATACATTAAGTAAAAATAAGAATACATCCTTTATATCGTATACAATAGGTAGATAGAAACTCATGAGGACTGGGCTACTGGATCGTGCTAAAAAAATTGCACTGCTCAGACCTAGGAGCGCCAATGGAGCCTTTCTTCTTGGAGAGGGTGTTCTATTGACTCTTCCCAGAGCATCCCAAGAGAAGGCAGGAGGGCATAAGTGTAGACCTGATGCCTCTCATTACCTTCGATTCATTGAGGTTGGTAGTCTCAGAGATGCCGCCGTTGGGTCAGTGGTCTGTCGTTAAAGGAAGAAAAGGGAGCCATCACGCAGGAGGCACGGGTCACCAAGTAGGCCGTCTGAGTAGGTCGTTCTAGGTATCAAGGTTTTAAGGATTAGTAAAGTATAATGTTGACCCATCCTGCTCTGTGTTCACTCACTTAATCGCTAAGAAAAGCATCAATCAAGCTCATATGGGCGCTTGCAAAGATTGCTGTCTTTTTCAAGATTCAAGAGAATGAGCACCTTTAGCAAGTGGTGGCGAGCATGCTGGTGGCTCCACCTTAAAATAATGCAAACGCGATTCCGGGGTGGAACTAAAGCCCCACAGCATTGGGGAGAGGAGTTAGTAGGTGTTCGTAGTCAAACAAAACAAAAAATACGCAGAGCACAGAGTCCCACGATACGTCAAAAGCAGTATTAGTGTGTATGAAACGGTGAACATCTAATATACCACAAGTCCACACGCATAAAAATTCTGTCTAATGTAACTCAGTAGTTGCATAGTTAGAGGTACTTGTAATAAGTTAGTGTACTTATTTTTGTTGTGTTTTTAATTTGTTAATACAACAGTTAAGCTTTATTTCTACTTACTGGGCCTTTTAAATTCAAAATATTTGAAATTAGAAAAGAAGCCTTATCAATGAACAAATTATCTCTTATGTGAATTATTAAATTAAGTCAAGCTCAAAAGATACGATTATGTAAATTGTTAATTTTAACTTAGTGTTTATAAAGGAGCGGCGTTGGCTCAGTAGTAAGTGTGCTTGTTACTGATACGACGCTGTTCTAGGGGACATGGATTCGATTCCTGGTGAAAGCAGATTTTTTCAAAAAACTGTTTTCATTGGTAAAGGTTCCTATGTAAACCCAGCTGTGCCGGGGCGGGTTTTTCCGTGGAATTTTCCTTCAGAGTAATTCCAGGGATTGTTCCTTGCCCACAGGTCTTCGGGCCTTGGTGAATGCGATATAGTGTTAGGGCTATAGGTAGGGGTTAGCAGATCCGATGCTTCAGGCAGGGCTCGCCGAACTTACTGGCGAGGAGTGGTCCCTGAAACATAGGGCTTCTCCGGGGATGCTTAGTAGCCTGGATCTGAAGCTTCAGCAGAGAGCGCTGGCTTAACCAGCGAGGAGTAGACGTTCTGAAATATTGGAGTCTACTGTAGGGAAAGGCTACACAATGGTGAGTAGACCCGATGCATCATTTCTGCAAAGAGTGTCAGCTTAACTGGCAAGGTGTTTTACCAAAGATACTTGCACTGTGCTCATGGATTAGGTATAAGATCAGTAAAAGGGTTAGAAATGGATGCGGCAACACACCCCTACACATAAGTGGTGAGTGAGTGGCCCCGGTGACTAGGCCAGTAGGCTATCGCGGTAACTCGGTAAAAAAAAAACTAAATGTTTACAATGTCTCTAAAAATACACCGTTGAATAGCCACTGCTCGTGCGTACGTTGTCTCTAGATCTTCCATGGTTTATCGCAACGATATCTCTTATTTTACACGAGGATACTCGTGGCGATGATAATTTTTAGGCTACTTCTGTAAATAACAGATCTTAATCAACAAGCTTTTTTTCTTGATCTTCTTTGTTTCACTTTTTAGGTGAGTCTACAGCGGTTTAAGTTGCTTAAGCTTTTCTTATCCAGTCTAGTCACCGTACTCAGTTTTACATTAACTAGAAACGTAGGGTTTGACACGCAGCTAAATGACTGAATGAAATATCATTATTATTAGATTCAAATACACAATTAATCTCACTTTCAAACCTATAGAGTTACTTCAGCAGTTGATAAAAGAGAACACGCGTTAATTGGTAAGTACAAGGAGTTTTAACACTCTTGCATTTAAGGAGGTTGCGTCAAGTTGGCGATCCAAACGATCAATTAGAGCCTTATTTTATTACTCTTGATGGATACAAGCATAATCTTTGTGTAATAAGTGTGCAATAATTGCTGGTTAAAATCGCTTTTCTTACTTTTAGAACGGAGCTAGGTATTTTTAAGTAATAGTAAGTATATGATATGAGATGTCAAATATATTTTTAGCGAATGATCTTGTTTTTTTTATTGACATATCATAAAATCACACAAACAAAGATCCTATCGTAATTCTTTTACTGCTGATGACGAACGTGTATTTTAGTAAAAAGTTATTTTTGCATAACAGATTATATGGAGTAGTAATTTTTTAAATATTTTTCATATATATATGCGTCTTTTATTTCGCTACAGTGACGTATGTCTTACCCTGTAAAATGTAAGATTAGTTGGTTTTCCCCATAATTTTTATTTTAAATTTTTTTCTTGTTATTCCCACTTCTTGCTTTGAAATATCTATACAGATACTCCATTACGTTTGGGGACCTAAGGTATTTAAACTTAATTAATTAATAAAGATATTAGACCAATGAGTCGCAAAATAGAGGAGTTTTTATAACTCTTGGGTGATCAGCAACCAATATTTATGATTTTTATGCATTCAGACCACTTAAATCAAAGTATTCAAAAAATTTATCAACAAGCTATTTATAGAACTATACTTTTAAATCATAATGAAGCTTTCTGATGTTATTTGATAATAACGAGACTTGGAATAAAAAACGGAGAAATTTGATGGAAAAAAAAATTTAAGTTTCTGTATGATAAACTCAATGAAATTACTTATTTAAAAATGCATTTTTTGAGTAAGCAAATGCAGTTATTATACTTCAGAAATTCCTAATAATTTTATTCAATGACTGCATCATAAGTTATTCCAAGAGGCTACAAAGTTTTGAAAACACAAAATTTAACAGATACGTTAAACGATACCTACATTGTAAGAGTTACTTTTTTACAATTCACTGTATATAGACGTACACTATTGCGTATTTTAGAAAATAATTTTTCTTTGGTCATAAAGTACTCCTTTTCTGCATTCTAATATCTTATTATGTTTAAAGTTCTACAAGACGGTCTTTGATAACTTTTAAATTTATTTTTGTGAAGGTGATATGCTCCCTCAAGAAATAATTGTGTAAAATATGCAGGACATAAACAATATTTTCTACTAAGAATAATGTTTCTTTGACAGTCTCAAAACTTTTTCTCTTTAGCTCCTTTACGTACCAAACTTCTTTTAGTAGCATAACAAATATGTATGGATTATCTAACACGTTGAAATTTATAAACGTTGTAGTTGTAATTAATTTGATGTAGGAAAATCGTCTCACACTAACTCGTGTTCAACAAGGTCACTCTCAAAGTGAAAAGTGGTAAAAAAATGTTGAAATATATTCTACAGGATTCCATTAGTACCTATTTCACAATTGATAATCCAACCTTATCTACCTTACTTATTTTTATCTAGTTTCGTTTTTTCACAAGTAGAGTAAGTTTTTCATGTGAGCTCATAATGCAGTTATCTCAAACAACTTGATCATTCATCTCTTTTCAAGATGTACTGACCATTTTGAGCATACTCAGATGTGGTTAGGTTTAAAGAATATATATTTTTATTAACCATTAAACTCGACATACCAACCTTTTTCAAACGTAGTAACTTTACCGATATTACTGAAGGAGTGTTGATCTGGAGGTCTAGACATAATCTTACTTTATTCCTTGCAATAAGGTAGGTAGTTTTATAGAATCTTAGACACTTTTTTTATCAAAATCTACATAGGATTAAATCTCAATAATTTTCGATGGCATTTGAGCCCACAACCCCTGTAGTATTTTCGGCTAGGAAACTAACGCACTAACTATTAGTCCATCAAAGTTTCAAGGTAAACAATATTACCTTATCTATTTGATTTTGAATAAACTTTATCTAAATTATGATCAGGTAATAAAATAATCAATTTTTCAAAGTAGTAAAAATGAAACTTTCTTTAGTTTATTGCAGGAATTGAAAGTATTAGTATTAGTACGTCAAGCGACATGATGATGCTCATGGTAAGAAATAAATGACATTCAGAAGTCAGTGTCTTTGCATAAAAACTACGTGATAAGACATACTTTTTACCTTATACTTTTTTAGCTCACTGATAAAATAAATCATCAGTTCTACTCACTGACTATTTATTTTGTAGGCATCCCATACTATACATATAAATCCCATATTATAATTTTATAAAATAATTGTAACTACTAAGAAAGTTATGAGTGGGTAAAATGACTTACTCTACTTATATCGGTGTCACTTTTCCACTCTGGTCGAACCACATAGTCCTTGTTTGAAGGCAGTGGAACTCTGGCTCGTGCTACCCATCCAGGATCACCAGGTCGCAGAGGTCTGCAATTGTATTTAGAATAGTGTTATTTTATGTGATCGAAACATTTGTATAGGCTATGAGTTGAAAAAAGTTTTTATAAACGCTTCTGTTATCTATATATATAGAAAACAAAAATACGTTAATAAGAAAGGAAACTAGCTAGCATTTCTTGTTAACAGCGAGTCGATGGATACGTTAACTTACAAAAACTCACAAATGTCAAAAAAAGGTTTTTTTTTTGCGGTAAAAAAAAGTTGACTTCCAATGCAAAAAATTTGGGTAAAAAAATTGTAAATCTTAAAAAAACCTATTGACTGACGTCTTTTAAATTCAATTTTTATGTGTGGGTGCCGAAAAAACTTGAACAAACGAGCGAATTTCGTCGTTTTGTAATTGATTAATAACTTTTTTTTTCTTTTTAAAGTTGATACTTCGTAAAATTATAGGAAATGAGTTACAAATATTCAGATTTTTTTTTCAGCAGAAAATGTTGAAAACTTTGTGAAATGTCGCATTTCTTTCAGAAAAAAATTTGTAAAAACTTTCCTCCTTGTTGAGGGATTATAGTAGCATGGTTTTTTGGGACCTAATCTTTTCGTCTAGATTTGTTCTACTTTGGTTTTTCAGCAGCAAGTACAATTTCTTAATTTTTGACGCTGAAATCAGCCCTCAAAAAAGTGAACTTTTGAGATATATTTTTTGCGTTTGGTTTCCGTATATTAATAAAGACAAGTATATTACCAACTGCACTTCATTGCCTAGATTTTTCTACGGATTAGAAAAAAAAAATTTGTATTGCAACCATCAGGAATCAAGTTAGATTTTTTTTGTTAACCTTGCCAAGTAAGCACGAATATAAATACGTCATTTGTGGTAGGTTGCTCTTACTTGGGCGCTACTATACATCTTTGATTTGAAATATAAGTACATCAGTATAGGAAAAAGCGATCTCAAGAGCTTATTTTGCCATTCGTATTTCAGCAAGAAACACGTCCCTTAACATTTGGTGGTTACAAATTTGATATTGTTTATGTATAATCGAGTATTGTAAGCAGTTAAACTACTTGTAAGCAGAATGTTACACTATTTTTTGCTTAATGGAGATGGGGCACAATTTATATTTAACATGGATTCAAATGTGAGTTGTCAAAAAATCGCATCTATAGTTACGGAGATATTTGCACAAACGTAAACAAATTTTGTTTCTTATTCATATGATACATTTCTACAGAAGACAAGGATGCACTAAGTATACTGTCTCGACGTTTTACGTGTCACGATGGCTTTTCAAAAAATCATCTCTACAAATCATCTCTACTTAAAATTATAATCTAAAACTTGGAATAGCCTTTCATGAGACCCTTTTACTTAATGCTATATTATTAAAGTTCCTAATTTCAAAAACTTATGGCGCACTTTCATTAAAAAAAAAAAAAAAAAGATTAATCATGCCGTTTATTTTTTTTTTTTTATCTCCTATATAGAAAGTATTTATGCTATTTGGCTTATACTAAAAGAAACTAGATACTCTAAGAAATATTCGACAAATTTTTTAAAGTGTATTATTAATACACGAATAAGTAGTGGTGAGTTGGAGTGGCGCTGGCTCAGTGGTAGGCGTAATGCAGCTGTAAAATCGCGGATAAATATGTAAATTTTGTCTTGGTAGACTCTTCCATACTATTGGCTGTAAGTGGAGATGACAAAATTTTAGGAAGCCAAGACGTCGATTTGTTGGTTCTCGTTACTCCAAAAGCGCCTACTGACAAAACTCTATACTTTTTGAAAAAGAGCCAAGGCAAAAAGCCTGAATGCTAGTAGACAAACAAAAGTTTCATTTTTTCAGCATTACAAAAGTGTATAGCCTTTTTTACACGTCATTACAGGCTGTAATACCGTATTGTGTCAGTACAGACAAGGTAAAAATAAGTAAGTTAAAATTTTCAACAAGAAACCAAAGCAATGTCAACTAATGAACAAATTTTTCTACAATGACGCTGATAAAAATATAATTGGCTTAAAAGGTTGCACAATAATGATCTTACTGTACAACAAATCGTCTAAAGCATGATTAAATGATCTTCGCTACCAGAAATTTAGTAAGTGCACCGCTCGTGACACTTTTCAGTTACCTAAGCACCTACCGGAGGTGCAGGAAAAAAAATGCATTCAGAACCTATTTACAAATACAGAAATGGTTCAGAAAATATCTGCATCCAACCTTTGGGGGTTCGAAATTCTATAACACGGACCTTCTACCCAATAAAAAATAACTAAGTGTCAGTGCGACGGTGCTTGAAAAACGAAAGTGTATGGTTGCTTCAAGCACGGTTTGAATGGTACAAACACCTATGCACACTCTAAAGATACGCAGTGCACAAATTTTGAAGTACTAGGGAATATAACACTCGGGCCGTGCCCTATACAAAACGAATATTTGAATAATTGTATAATTTTCTATGTACCTAATAATAAGAATAGATTTAGGAGCCTAGAAATACCAGATTTCGACGATTCCGTGTTAGAATCTGCTCTACATAATTAACAAACTTTTGATGAACTCAAAAATAGTTGTGAGCAACCATGAATAAATAAGATAACCAAAATACATTTACTAGACTTACAAATATCTGTACAACGTACAAATAAAAATGTGTAATAACATTTTTTTTGCTACCTTTTAAGTAAACACTTATTATCATTGAACGTGACGATTCAACAAAAAAACTCAAGTAACACAATAGTAATACTCATATTTATCACTTTAGGACACCTAGCACCTTTGTTGGAGCACCCACATAAGAGCAACCCACCACACACGACGTATTCCAGTACGCAGAGAACGCGTAGTGGGCAGAAACACTCTGTTTTAACAAAATAAAACACGTTTTACGTGAGATAACGATCACTAACATATTTTCAAATGTCAATTAAGTATGTATTAGTAACGTGTCTAAGTTTCAGTGCTCTACGAGTTTTACTTTTATGTGGGAAGTTTCAAAAAAAATGTAACTTGGTTCCTGATGGTTATGATACAAATTTTTCTTTTCAAATCCGTAGAAAAATCTAGGCAATAAAGTGCAAGCGGTATTATACTTATGATTATTAAAATACGGAGACAGTTGGTAATATACTTATCATTATTAAAATACTTATAATTTTCTCAGTTTTTATTATACCAAGTTTAATAACATTTGAGTTGGAAGTTTTACTTCTGCCAGGAGTCCCGAGATCTACACCTGGTTATTAAAATTTTTTTGAAAATTAAAAAAAATGAGAAAATTGTATAAAAAATTTTTCCTTTACTGTAAAAGTAACGAATTATTGATAAACAAATAAATATCGATTAATGCAGTAGAAAAGTGCTCTGCTACAATAAACTAATTTCTAAATAAAGAAAAACCAAAAAAAAATGATTTAACTATAGGGACCGCTCTTGAGAGAGTGGATAACGGACTTGATTAGTATGCAGAAAACGGCAGGTTCAAGTCTCGAAAAAAGTATTTTTTTTTATTTTAATTAACTTTTTTTTTAGAGAGAGAGAACTGGTTAAATAATAATAATTAAAATTCAAAATGTGTGCTATCCTGT